CAGATTAATAGGGAGGAGTCACAGCTTGGGGGTAAATACTGCCTCAAAAGAGTGGCACTTGACCTGACCCTTGAAGGAAACTAGAGGTTCAAAGATGTAAAGGTGAAGACGTGATGCATTCTAAGCATGGACAATAGACTGTGCTAAGACATAATAATGAGAAATAGAATGTCATAGTACGGAGAGCAGCAAATAGACCACCAGTTTGGTTGTAGCAGAGAATACATGAAGAGTAGTAATGTTCATTTACTCAGCATAGAAAAACAGGGTAGAACCAGGTTGTGAAAAGCTTTAATGCCAAAAATAGTAGTTTGGTTTTTATCAAAAGAAAAAGAGAGAGAGAGAGAGAGAGAAATAAAAAAAAAAATGAGGAGACACTGATGCTACTTGAGCAGGGTATTGACATGGCCAGATGGGTTTCTAAAATGTATCTACTTCAGAGGCTAGTGAATTCTATTCAAAATTATTAAAGATCAAAAAGACTTTGAGAAGCAAAGGAAGGGAAGCCTAATAGTGAGGTTTCAGGCATCATAACAGATAATAAGAGAGATATTTGGGCCAAAAGGGGTTTTGTCAATATTCCATAAATTATGTGTGGATATTCCCCAATATTTACCTATAAAGTGAACCGTATTCATAAAAATTGGATCCAAATGGATCTTTTCCAGGGATATATGAGTCTGTTCAAAGGACAACTGTAGCTAAATCAATTTACAGGCATGTTAAAGAAGCTGTTATGTGTGCTAGACAGTGAAAATAACAATCTCAGGCACAAGTATAAGAGCACCCATTAGGCCACCAATCTCTGTCCTTATATTAAAAAAATATGATATGGGACCCAAATGAGTGTCTGGGCCAAAATAATCTGCTCAAAATTTGATACCTCAGTTATGTGATCTTGTTATCCATATTGATGAATGTTATCAAGTCTCCACTATACTTGGTGCTATGTAAACAGCTTATGTGCCTTTCAATAATCTGTCTCCTTCTTTACAGGCCACTGTGTTTATGGCCTCTCTATGGCCCCAGTAAAATGCACATAGAAGATTAAGATTTATCAGATGGATCTTCTGTGATTCAGTGACTATGAAATTTTCAGATGTGAGTCTTTCTGATAAAAAAAAAACCCAAAAGCCCACTTCCCTCTTGATTCAATTTCAGGGTTTTTATATGAATTAGCCAGAAAATTATTTCAACTTTATCTTTAATTTGTATTCAAATATTTGTTATTTTGCTACTGAGACTAGATAATGTGGTCTGCATTGAATTTTTGGACTGTTCAGTATGTGACTTTTTGGTCTGCTATCAAATAGGTCAGGTCAATAACAACTTCCTTTCTCTTCTGTTTTTTCTGTTATTGCTGTGTATATACATAATATATACATATATAATATTTAATAAGAGATAAAATATAAAATAAGTAGTGAAATTAAAGCTTCTAGACAAAGTATACTTATAAGAGTAATGGAAACAGGAGTGGATTTGGAGGCAGAGGACTTGAGTTTGAATCCCAACAGGTTTGATACTAGCTGTGTGACCCTAGACAAGCTAATTAATATCCCTGAGCCTCAGCTTCCTTATGTGTAAAATAGAGATAAAGATTAAACCTATTATTTCATTTGCATATTGAACTCCTAGGCAGGGACCCTCTCTTCCAATGGAGGTCAGCACCCTTTCTACAACTTATAATCTTAGTGAGTAGCCTAAATCAGTGAGAAGTTAAGTCACACAGCCAGTACATATCACAGGCAGGACTTGAACCCAGCCTTCAAGGTTTCAAGGACAGTTTTCTATCCACTATGCACTATTCACAGTTTCTCCTATAAAACAAGGATATTATCTGCAATAACCTATTTACAGGATTAGAGTGAGGATTGAATGAAACAATGTATTTAAAGCACTTCATGAACTATAAAATCCTATGTAAGTATAAGCTGAAGTTGAATTAATCCATTGGTGTAGATAACTTGGACAGACCGTGAAGATGGGAAACTGAATAGGAGGAGGAGTATGAGCTGAATCAAATTTGGGAAGTTGCACGATGCCTTCAATGATTTCAAGCTGTTCGCTGCTGCAAAGGTGTATATATTAACAATAGTTTTCCAGTGATGCTATGTGGTTCCAAATCATCTGACCCCATAATCTCAGCAGAATCAAAATTACAGTTACTCAAAGGGCAATGAAAAGATGCCTAGTGGGTATTCTGAAGAATTATCTTCCTAGTTCTTCTTTATATAATGAAATGTCTGTTTTTGCTCATGATTATTACATCCATCGCAAAAAAGAAAAGAAAGAAAATGTGTTCTGAGTTCCAAATAACCAAAGTACAAATGAGATTTTTTGAAAATGACAGAAATATAGACTATATTGCATTGGGGATGAGAAGCAGTTAAAAACAAATGCCTAATGTAAAGTGAAGTGAGCAGAACCAGGAAAACAATTTATGGAATAACAACAATACTGTAAAGACAAACAACTTTGAAAGACTTTGGAAGTCTGATCCACATAATGGAACCAACCACAGTTGCAGAGAATTCATATTTTAAAATGCTATCCAGCCCAGATAGAGAGGTGATGGACTCAGTGTGGATTGAAGCATATTTTTTGGACTACTACCACCACCACTATCATCACCCCATAATCATTCATACTTTAGGAGGAGAACCAAGATAGGCATAATAAAAAATAGCAAAGAACTTGAAATCATTTTAGATTTTGAAATGAATTATTGGTTCGCCTTGGATTGCTACTAAGACCATATTTTATTCCCTAAGCACACGTCAACACAGAGGGAGGTGTTTGAAAAGTCAGTTGAATAAAAGGAAGGAAACTCATATGGTATTAAAATTATCTGGGACTTATTCACTAAGAATACAGTCTATATGGAAACCACCTACACTTATCTGCTATCTGTTAATACCTGATAAGAAAATAGAAAGCAGTATCTGACCCTAGACAGGACAATTTTACTTATGCTTCCCTGACAGTTTTGAAAACCAACTTGATAAACTCAAGATTGTTCTGAAAAATCACATCAAAAATGATAAAAATTACTAGAACCGCTGCAGTAAGATCCATATATGAGGTTTGTCCAAAATCATCATAGCATCATTTTAATTTAAAACATAAAAATGGATTTATTTATAAAATAACACAAAAAGGAATAGCTTAAGTTTCACACACTTCAAGAAAACTGTCAGAACATTAAAAAGAACAATGAATTGTATCTATATAAGCAAAGAAACATACATAATTGAATAAAGTTTTCAGATAACTCGGACAACTCTACTATTCTCTATGAAAGTGTGCGTTGAAGTTTAAATTTGTTTAGAATGATATCTTATAGTCTTCAACTTAGATATTTAATTCTTCACTTCACTTTATCCTTATGCTATCTTTGACCAACTCACCACTGACAAAGTAGAATAAGGAATTAATACAATGATCTGGATAATTCAGTAACCCAAACTTTGTTTTTCATTAACAACTTGGATTAAGACATCAAAGAACCTCAATTTTCCATCCACTTATTTTAACATCAACTTTTCTTCATCTTTCCTACACAACATAACATTAAAATATTTACATAGTACAGAGTGAGTTCCTGAAAGTACAAACTATCAAATTACCACATTCATATTTCAAGGCATACACAGGTCTCCAGTCCATGCTTCCATCCAGCTGTGAAGATAATGCCTATCCTTCTTGACAAAAAGAAAAGAAAAAGAAAAATCATCCTTTTCCTTTAGCTATCTACTTAAGACTTTGAAAGGATGAGAGTAAGATACAGTGAGAATATCCCTGGACAGGAATAAGAGATCTGGGTTCTAATTCTAGGTCTATACCATACCACACCATACCATACCATCAGTTATGAATCACATGACATCTCTGAATCTTCTTTTCTCATCTGTAAAATTAAACAATTGGACTAAATGACCCTCAAGCTGTAAATGACATTCTAGTCTATATGTCTCCATAAAGTTGTATATAGCATACACACATACGCACACATTTAAGGATCGTGTGGGCTTTTTTTTGGGGGGGGGGGGTGGACTAGTCTCATGATTTCATTTGTATAGGGAACTCTCAGTAAGGAATTTTCTTCTATCATTGAAGCCCAGCATCTGCTCTGCAACATATTTATTTTTGTAAAATATGTTGAAAGCATCTTGCACGGGATTGAATTTTAATTTGCTCTATTGTCTATAAACAATAAAACTTGGTACATCACAATTTTAAGGAAACTGTATGTTCTTAAACTGCTGGTACTAAACAAGTATAAAATGTCCAAAATATTGGACCTTAGGATACTGCATAAAAGTGGTTGCTATTGCTTCAAAGAATAGTAATGTATTAGAAGAAATGTATTAGTGCAAATGTTTTCCCTTTGCCCAATTAAAAACTTCAGAGGCACAATACTGATAATATTTGAAAGGGATACTTTAAAGGGATATTCTGAACTATCAAGCTAGTCTATTGATTAAAACATAAAATATAGTCTCACTTTGAAGATTTCTCCTCCTTTCACAAGACACCTGAAATGAACTTTAACCATGCAAAGTGGTGAAACTATCTATAAAAGAGTCTCATGGTAGTGATGTACTAATAAATGTATTTTAGAAATGATTTCAAGCACTTTGATCTCTTAAATAAAATTTTTAAACTGTATTTTCAAATTTCACGTTTATATTACGTTTTAATTACCCATTCTCTCTATCTCATTCTGTCTCTGGCTCTCTCTCTCCCCTATCTCTTTGTCTCTCCTTTCATCTTTACTCCTTCCCCCTCTCCCTTCCATTTCCTCATTCCTCCCCCCCCCCCCCCCCCCCCCCCCCCCCGCCTATCCCCTTAGCTCTCTTTCTTACTTTCTCCCTCTGCCTGTTTCTTTCCCTTTATTTTTACTTTCCTCCTTTCTTCACCTACTCATCTCCCCTCCCCTCACCCCTCCCAAAAAAAATAACATCAAAAAGTCTCGGTGCCACGGCAGGCATTCTTACCTGTCTGCACTAAGCGCCGTGAGAGTGAACACAGAAACTCCCACTGAGGTAAGCTGTATGGCGGGAATAAGTTTGCAGCCCACTTTCCCAAACATCCACTCTTCAAAGAAGTAGCGAGAGGCATCCACTGGCACGCAGGTCACCAGGAGCAGCAGATCCCCGGCTGCTAGGCTAGAGATAAAAATGTTAGGAACGCTTCTCATAGCACTGTTAGTGATGAAGATCTTCATTAGGGTGATATTGCCCAGCAAACCAACTGTGATAATAAGCAAGTACAGCGACGGGATCACGCAGCGGATCACGAACTCCGCCGTGCCCTGTTCTGAGGAAGGCAAGAAATCTGTCTCTAAGACCTCCGGAATCAAGTTGCTTTCATTCTCGTCCCTTTGCAGGGAAAGGTTAGAAAGAGATTTTGTAACCATTGTCTTAACTACTGGAAAATCCACTGTAGTTTTCATGCGTTCTATAACACTGAGGAATGAAGAGCAAAAGATGAGATTGATCGATCTTCCTCTCTTCCTCGTCAAGTTTGTGCCACCAGAGAAAGCGTCCTGCAAAAAATATCAAAGGAAAAAATACAGTGGGAAAGTTGATCCATGCACTCAGGTGCTTTAATTCCTTCCTTAAAGTGCAGACTGTCTCTACCTGAAAACTGGATAAAGTGATTCTTCCTGGTGTTGCAAACTTCACCAGGGTGCGTGAGGGGGGGGGGGAGAGAGAGAGAGGGGGAGAGAGAGAGAGAGAGAGAGAGAGAGAGAGAGGGAGAGAGAGAGAGAGAGAGAGAGAGACGGAGAGACGGAGAGACAGAGACAGAGACAGAGACAGAGACAGAGAGAGATTTCTTAGAATTCCTGTATTCCTAACGGAATGGACCAGATGTGGCAATGCCTCCTGGAACCGTCCAGCAGGACGCGGTTGAAAGTCTGTTAGGATAACCAGGAGGCACTAGGGCAAGTGTACTTCAGGTTTTTAGTCCTGCTGAGTTTCCTTTACTTCTGCAGTTCCCCGAGCATGTGTGAGAGTAGAGGGGACCGGGATCCTCTCTCTCACACTGTGTTCCTATATGCATTCATATCGACCCGCCTCCACAGGGGAGGAGCTTTTCAATTCTGAGGGGACATAGGCTAGAAGTTCGCTAGCTTCTCTGGGTTTGAACTGAAAATACCTAGGTGCCAAAAACCTAAATTGGGTCTGATGGAAGCAAGGCTTCAGAGACTCGTTAAATAAGATCCACAATATTCCATTTTATACCGTATTGCAAAACCCACACCCAATGCTACCATGATAGAATGTAAAGGCTCCATTAAGGATGGACTGAGGAAGCTCTACTGATGTATGGACATAGTGATGTATGGCCAGCTAATACTCTTTGGTAACCGGAATTTACTGTTTAGTATTAAGCTCCTACTACATTAGGCTACAGCTTACTGGTAAAGGAAACTAGCTATTCAAGAAGAAAATAAGAGGGGTTTTGAGAGAATGAAATCATATGGCTGAAATTGTTTGAAAGAATGAAATTATATGGCTGTTGGTCAGTGCAAGGTGTATGCACATAAAAGTGAAGGTAATCACTTCACCTACATAATTCAGACAATATTTGCTGAATTTTCTGAAAAATGTAAGCAATAATATTTTAGTTGAATTAACCAGATTTTTTTTTAAATCACTCAGATGTGATCACTGATCTTTAATCACCTATGATGACTTCTCACTTACAATTTTCCTTCCTTAAGGTGTTCCATTTAACTTAAAACATATTTCCCTGTTGAATGAAAATGTGATAACAGTTGGAAGATGAAAGCTTGTTCAAATGTTATAGTGAAAGGTAGTTACAGTATGATGAAAAGCATCAAACAAGATTAAAAATTACATGCCAATTAGGAATAAATATCTAAGATAATTTATCAGAATGTGGTTGAAATACCATTATGCTGTATTGAATATCTGGTGCTCACATTTCATTGGTACCACCTGTCCCTCTGATTGGACCCTATGGCTGGAGGGCAGGGCAATGGGCTTCAGGGCCTCTATTTAAAGAAAGGAGTCAAGCACAGTTTTTCTCCCCATTTCCCACCAGCTGCACAACATTTGGACTTCTCTCAAACTCTCTAACATACTTACCCCCAAAAAAACCTCAACCTCCCCCTTTCCCTTACCTTCTCCCTCACCTCTTCACCTTTTGGCTTCCTTTTGTGTGCAGTCTCCCCTCATTAGATTATAAACTCCTTGAGGGCAGGGACTGTCTTTGTTTTCATTTGTATTTGTATCCTCAAAGTTTAGCACAGCCCCTGGCACGTAGCAGATGCTTAATAAATATCTATTGACTGACTTTAGATTATCTAAAGTCCTTTACAACTTTAGTGTTTAGCCTATGCTCTGCATATATGAGAGACAATGTAACACAGTGGAAAGAATGCTACAAATGGAATGAAGAAAAATCAGAGACTATGTTTGCCTCTAGACACTTTCTATCTGTGAGATCATGAGCAAATCATTCAGACTCCCTGAGCACCTGTTTTCTCCTCTGCAATAAATAAATGAATGAATGAATGAATGATGCCTATAGTAGCTATTTACCTCACACGGTTATTTTGATGATAAAATGATACAATGTGTTTAAACGCTGTATAAATATCAGTTGCTATCATTACACATGCAAAACAAATTAGAAAATAGAAGCAAGTGTGTAGGCAATCCATTTCCCAAAACACACACATACCCACACACAATACGCACTCAAAGCACTTCTATCTCCATTATTTATACATTTTAGTAAAAATGTATTTTATACTGAATTACCTTTATGCTTTCTGACACTCTTTTTCTTTGTTCACATCTATATAACTCTTAAAATTCAGATGAAAACCAAAATATTCAGCTTAAAATTTCAATTTTGTAAACATCCAAATCTTATATGTATAACAAAGCATTTGGGGTTAATTTTACAAGTCTTCATACAGAAGTTTGATATCACATCAGGCTTAAAGGAGCAAATTCCCAAGTGCTTGGTAAATGTTATTGCTGTGTTTTGTTGCATTTGAATTTGCAGTAGTGGCTTTGTATAATGGAAAGTCAGGAGACACCTGGGTTTTGAAGTCCTATCTTTGACATCTCTTGACTTTGTGTCTATGAGCAAGTCACTTAATTTCTTTGAGTATCTATCAGCTTTCTCATTTGTGAAAATGAGATAGACACCTGCAGTACCTACCTTCCTCACAGGATTGTTGGATCAAATATGATCATGTACATTAAGAGTGATAATATAAGCAGATCTTGAATAAATTTGTAATTTTTTAGTGAAATGTGTAAGTGCAAAGTTTTCAATGCTTCCTATCAATGATATCAGCTTGTATTCAATAAATCAAAGATTAGGTTTGATATATAAAATATTCAGAAATTTTTAAAGACAGTACAATGAAAATTAATGGAATTGTCGTTACTCCAAGTATTAAAGAAAGATGGCCCAATTTACTATAAATATTTTACAGCAACTTTTCTATTTAAGAACCCTAAAAGAATAACCTCAGTATGTGTATATACTCCCTTCCTCATGTATATATGTACAAGCATATGAGTATACATTCACACACATACATACAGAAACTCTCAAACACACACATAGGAATTGAATTTAAAACCCTGGCATCATTAATATTGTCTTAAATTTACATAGGCCCTTCAATTGCTTATACTTAACTTTTTTTGGACCAGATCTGAGATTTTAATGTCTGTAAGTGAGGATACTCCCTCTACCAATGAAGATCAGTAACTATTCTGAATCTTATTCTCATAGAAAGAGAAAGGTACCAGAAGTATTGAAAGGTTAAATTACTTTCCCTGTGTCATAGAATAATTCAGAATATGGACTAGAGGCAGAATTTGAATACTGGGCTTCCTGACTCCAAGTAAAAAATTTTGAAATTACAACAGAGAGTACTGAGATGGCACTTCTTTAAGGTGTTTATGCTTGCTAACACACCAAAGATAAATAATTTGGATGTTCCTATACTTTTGATCCAGCATCTTTATTAGCCTACTCCAATTTATGTAACATAATTATATTATAGAGATACATAAACACATATATCTACACATATTGTCACTTCTGTTCCCATTGCACATCTCACATTTGTCCCCTTCTCTTACACAGCCACTACCCTGGTTGAGGATCTCATTATTTCTCACCTGAACTATTGTGATAACCTCCTAATTATGATCCCTGTCTCAAATATCTCCCCTTTTCAACCCATCCTCCACACAGCCTCCATAATAATTTTACTGGGACAGGTGTCAACATGCCAGCCCCTTGATGAACAAACCCAAATAACTCCCCATTGCCTCTAGTCAACTATAAACTCCTCCATTTGGCATTCAAATTTTTTTACAACCCTGCCCCTTTCTATCTTTCAAATCTTTTTACATATTATTTTCCTCCTTGCACTACGTGATATAGATATAGGGACTTACTTTCCATAGAAAGAACACTCCTTTTCCCTTCTTTTGCCTTTTCATCCTCTGTGCTTCTTGACTGGAATACACTCCTCCACTTCTAGCCCCTAGAAAAATTGATTTCATTCATGACTCATCTCAAGTGATTCCCTATACATGAAGCCTTTCCTGATCCCCTCCCCCACCTCCATGGCTAGTGTCCTCTTTCTCACAACCATCTTGTATCTATTTCATATGTATTATGTCTATGTTTAGACATATACATGTTATCTCACTGCTTAGAATATATATTCCTTGAGGGACTGTTTCAATTCTGTCTGTTTCCCCAGCTAGTAGCACAGTGACTGCCCATAATAGCACTTAATAAAAGATTTCTGATTGATTCATTGACTTACATATGGCCACAAAGGTCTCATTCCAATGTTCCATTGAAACATAGAGGAGACCCTGGTTTCTGGAAGACTGGGATATATATCAGTGTGCAATATCTGGAAGTTTCTTTCAAGTCATTTCATCTCTCTAGGTCTCAGTTTCTTCATCTGTCAAATAAAGGGATTGGGTGCCTCTAAGGTCTCACCCAGCTATAGAGCTCTTATTCTTGCCCCAGTTTTTGCTCTGAGATGGCACTTTTAGAGGCAAAGCACTAAATGATGGTCAGATTTGAGGAGATCCATCTGTTACTTGGCAATAATATATTAGAATCAGGAAGTAATGACAAAGGAAATGAAGACCAATAATAATTCATTTTCATATCACTTTAAGGCTTATGAATGTTTTCCTATCACCGTGATGAGGTAAGATGTGTAAGAACTTATATAGTTTCCCATTTTATAAATGAGGAAATCAAGATTCGGAAAAGTTAAGTAAATTTCCTAGTTAGACAACTAGTTGAGTATGTCAGTTTAGATATAAACTCAGATGTTCTAACACCAAGTCCAGCATTATTTACACCAGAGGTATAAATTATGTGGTGCACTGACAACATGCCTGCAACACTCCAGAGTGAGGC